GCATGGGCCTTAATGAACGAGTCTGCAAGCACCTCAAAAAAAATCAATTGAATGCTTAGGTAAGAGAGAGTATCATGTCAGGGCCCCTTTGTGAGGGTTTCACCAAACTTTTTCAACAGAACTGACTCGGTCTCATGTTGAGCCAAATCTCCTTTCACTGTCGTGATGTAGGTTGTGATGTGCTCCCATGGATCCGAAGTCCTATCGTATTTCGGTATGTTCGACATCTTGAATCTCTTTGGAATAAGTTCTAGTGTTGCACTTGACTTAAACGACAACTGTGTGTATTTTTTTGAATCTAGACCTTTGAGCATCGGTGGCGTGCCCGGAATTTGATCCATCCGAGCGTGAAACTCCTTCGCATTCTGATCCATCCGTTCGTTCATTTCTCTCATGAATCTCATAAGCTCGATTTTCAAAAGATCACTCCCATTGTTATTCCCTGGTCCGCTTCCAATCCCTCCGGCTTCGTCAAAACCGACTCACCCCTTGGGGTGTTGTTATCAATTCTCTGAGTCGTTTGATTCGCGGGAACACTTGGGGGATTGGGCCCCTTCCGTTAGTGTTATTGGAGGCACCTGGAAACTCTTGCTTTAACTCTGTCATCACCCGATCTTGCCTTGAAAGGTGATCCATGATCGCTTTTTGTTGTTCCCCTAGGAGTCTGACAGTTTCCAAGACATGTTCCTCCTCCGCATCATCGGGAGTTGGTTCCCGCACATACCAAGGATATTGACCTTATCGAACCGAGGTCGTCTCGTCCCCTTCATTGCGAGTCTCACTGATTGAGTCATCACTTTCGGAAAATTCTTTGGGTGCCTCAATATTGTAGGTGTTGTTGACATCATTAGCTGCCATATCTAGTTTTTACTAAGAAAAGAACCAAAACTTGTTAGGAATAAACGAATGAATCAAAGCAATTGCACAACTGTTTCTGCCCCACGGTGGGCGCCAAACTATTTATCCGTAAAACAGTACAATTGAATTTATAACGTGGTTTACAGACAAGTGGATCGATTTGATCTAAAAAATGATAAAGAAATAAGAGTAAAAGTAAGATTTAACGACTGAAATTATAGAAGATAACAAGCCTAGTTCTGAACTCATTCTTTCCGAGAGCAAAGGCGAAAATAATAATAATAATAATAAAGCGATGATAAAGTTGTTAAATTGAGAGCAAAATAGTAAAGTATAGCTTTTTTGTGCATAATATTTTCATGTACTTACAATGGCTGTTGACCCCGCTATTTATAACTCTACGTAGGGAAACAAGTTCGTAAGATCAAACTCATCTTAAATGAGAATAAAAAAAGTTATTGATGAACATACAACGGCAGGCCCTGAATGCAAATATTCTCTGCAATGACTGCTCATTTAATGTTAGCGAATATTTTCTCATGAATACTATCTGATGGAAAACCTTTTAACTTTTATCGTCGACTACGTTCCCTTCAGAATCTATTCGATACCGGTCACACACGTTGTGTCCGGTATTGGTTATTTTCAGACTCATCCTTTGCCTATCTTCGGTTCCACGCATCATTTTACCATTCGACCATCTGTTATCAATCAATTTTACCCCATACATATACACCTTACTTTTTGTCTTTTTTTTTCTTTTAAAACCCTCCCAAATTAGGAGGATCTATAGTGTTTTCACACTTCCTCTCCAACGTGACTCGAACCCAGGACCTTATTTTTGGTCTTAGTATGAAGCATCTACAATTTTGCACCACTTAGACCGAGAATACGCGCTCCTTTTTTAGATTATAACCAAGAAAGAGGCCAAAAAAAAACAAGACAGCATTCACACGGAGTTCGGGGAATGACCTATCCTAACGCAAATGTTAGTAACTAATTCCACTGTTCAAATTTGTGAATTGTTGGTCATGAAAAACAACTTTACTGGTGCGTGCTCTAAGACTCCCTTCCAAACAGGGCAAAAAGGAAATACAGAAGGGGGTACTCCATTTGTCTTGTTAGCTGCATGAGGCATGCCTTTCAACAAGTATAAGGAAGGAGAAACATGTTGCATTCCCTCTGCTGTAGCTGATCTAAGAGAATATACATATAGGTCGCTATCCGATCTGTCCGTCCTAGAATGACGAGCAAGCACTTTTATAATTTGAAGTGATCGGGATCATTTTCTCTTAGAAATTTATACTCCTTTAACTCTGCTAATATTGGGAGATATATTTATTGTACTATATAAGTTTTATCACACGAGTAATTAAAATAGTAGATGAATGTGGTATCTCTTAAGGGATATTTATTTTTAGTTTATATGCAAAAGATCTGAAAATAAAATACTCCTACAAGAAATCTTTGTAGGGTTATTTTCTTCTATTTAAATTGTACAAAGTCATGTTAAACATTTTTTTTTTCATTAAAAAGTGTGAAGGATAATACTCGTATAAGTTTGTTTTTCTTTTGTGAAAAGAGGAGTGAAATAAATTAAAATGTGAATACATCGCCAAGTTGCAGAAATTGAGTGTGGGTTAGGCCGTTAGCGATAAGCGATATAGGTTACCAGCTTGCTGACATGAGTGGCTTTACATTATTATAACAGAGTAGAATCCACCTTCTTATTCTTTAATTATTAGCTGCTTTATCTGATTCCAAGTTAAACTAATTATGTAAACAGTGACTAGTGAGCACCACCACCACCATTAGTCTAGGCTATTTTTGTTCATATGAAAGTAATGAGTTGGGGATACCAACTCATTTAATGCCTAATATTATTGAAAACTTGTCATCATTCTGGGTTAGTCATCTCCTGCTATACACCAGCATTTGACTTTTTTGTGTTACGAAGTCTTATCTTAATAAGAAGTGAGAGATTCTGAATTCTGAAAAGTAATGTAAGATAATAATTCTTGAGATTATGACGAGTGTATTATGCAAGTGTGAAGTGTCTCAAAAAGCCAAGTGTCATGCTTTCCCTTTTAGTAGCGAGTTATCTAACAAATATAAATAGTGTAGTATACAAGATCTGAATCTGTGACACGCGAGCGAATCTGTGGAATTTGGTTAGGTGGGCGTGAGTCCCACTGTTAGACCAAGGGATTTCCTATGTAGACACGCATCAAGCTTCTGCCACCCACATTCTATATTATATTGTTTGTACGAATAACCATTATAGCAAGTTCATATTTTTTATTTTTCAAAAGCTGTTCAAGAGCCTGTTTGGCTGCTCATATAAAACATTTATAGGCATTTAAAGTGTTGAAAAATACTTTTAAGTACTGAAGTTAATTTAATAAATGAATAATTATGTATTTGAATAAAAGTGCTTAAATTGCTAATAAGTACTCTCTCCCGTCCACAATAAGTGATCAATTTTCTTTTTTATTTTAGTCCAAAATAAGTGTCCATTTATATAATCAAGAACAAATTCAATTTATTTTTTCAAAATTACTCTTATGTACGTATTCCTAAAAAGTTTTTTATTCCTCACATTAGCTATGCTGCAATATTTAATTAAAGACAGTTTAGTCTCGTAACTGAAATAAACATATTTTTCTGTGAAAAAAAATACCTTAAACGCCCTTAAAATAGTACTCCCTCCGTTCACTTTTAGTTGTTAAGTATTCCAAAAATAAATTCTCATTTTTACTTGTCACTTTTCGCATATCAAGAGAAAAATAATTTATTTTTCCTGCTTTGCCTTAGCATTAATTACTCATTCCAAATTATTTTCCAAATCCATTAAGATTATACACCAATTACTATGGGTAACATGGTAAATTATGTATTTTATTTATTATTATTTTTTAAGGGATGTGCAAAGTCAATAATGGACAAGTAAAAGTGAACGGAAGGAGTAAGTGATTTTTACAAGATTTTAAATTATACAAAATTGAATAGATAAATTTATTTTTAAAATGTAAATTATTTTATGATAAACTAAAATCCGTTAATAAGCTATACTTAAATAGTACGCAAAATCTGAGTATTTACTGGAGTAAGTATAGACAAAACTGAAAATAGAAAAAACAGACATCCCCAGGGGTAATATGAAGTATGAAAATTCTACCAAGATGAAGAAGGATTAAGAACTTCAGTATGCAAAATAATCACGTTCTTTCTTGATAACACAAAGCAAACGAATTTAATAAAGTAAAGAAGATGAGAAGAAGAGTTAACTACTACTAATAAACAAGAAAACTTTCTCGCCTGCTTCTGATTTGATGTATAGAAGAGCTTTAGAACTGGATTGTTTCTTTATGGGGGCCGCAGATTTTCTGGTTTACGAGAAAAGTCGTGAAAAAAGTGAAAGAATGAAGTTAGGGAGAAAGTTAGGGATTTTATTTGAGTAAGGGTATTTCTGGACCAATAAAATAATACTAGGGATAAAATAGTAAAATTTTATCAAACTAAAGTTCTTATAAGATAAAAATTGATCAGTTGGGAGTTAGTAATAAATAGTCTTATTTTGACTTATAAGCTCTTTTAATAAACTCAGCGAAACACACTCAAAATCTTATACATCTGAAATCATGCCCGTCAATTGTTTTTCTCACTATTCAACTGGAGTAGCTAAAACGTTTTATTCTGTGCATCATACACTAGTTGTAGGTAGGGATGTACAAACCAAATCGATAATCTGCATCAATCCGAAAATTCGAGTCAACTCGAAAAAAAAACCCGACTAGTGATTTGGTTTGACTTGATTTGGTATTGAAAAATAAAACCCGACCATAATAGAGTTGGTTTAGTATTAACTAAAAAAAATCAAACCGAAACCAAACCAACCCGACATTACATGTATACATATTTTATATATTAGATAGATTAAAATATTTATTAGAATGTAAGTTATAAATATTTCTTAATTTTTTTATAATTTCTGTATTTAGCATAATATTTTAAGTTGGGTTTATAGCCCATGTAAATATTTATTTTTGTCTGGCCCATAAAAAAATAACTGAGCCCAAACCAAAACCTAGTCCTAAAGGATAACTAGACTAGTCCTAATTCCTAAAGCTGTTCTAAAACACTTAAACAATTGAAATCACTTTGTCTCTTCTCCAAAAGCAAGAAACTCTATCGTTTCCATTCCAAAACCCCCAAATTAGATCAAACCAAATTATCTCAAACTCTATCAACTCTCTTTTGCTCTCATCGGTAAGGCTCTTCCCTTTCTCATTTTACATGTTTTCTTTTAGCTGCATACATACGCCTTACTTTTTCCCAATTAATTAAATTTTTTTTTCTGATTAGCGAGTTTTTTTAAGTAGATACCTTTATTGTGATGAGATTTTGGTCATGAAAGACAAAAAGTTGTCTATCACCTTCGTGGGGCCTAAAATATTTAATTATTTATAAATATTTCAGGTATTGCAAAAATTATCCTAATGGAAAGGATAAAACTGCAACATATCTCCCAAAGACTGGAAGTGAGGTCATTATGCCTTTACAAGTATTTTGGAAATATGCTCCTCTGGTTGTAATGTCTACTAAGATGCCCAATTTCTTAGAGTTTAATATATTCTCTTTTTGTTTATTTTTTAGGACTCTTGGGTGTAATGTCTACTCTTAAAAAGTTGATGATAATTCTTATGTAGAGTGCAATATGATATGCAGTTTATATTTTTGGTATTTTTTCGTTGGAAGAAGAAATATTAGTTGGAAAGCTCAATTATCTTTGGAAAAGGAGGGATGATTGATTAAAGTTTCTATTAGAACTGAAATTGAAACCATACAACTTATTGACTAACATAGTTGAGGTAAATGCTAAAAAATAAAAACATGGTTGTTATTGGTAAAATTGTATTTAGGACTAAAGAAATATTTGGAGCACAAGTTTATCGAAAAAACCCCGAGAAAATCCGATATTGAAAAACCCGACTTTTGTTGGTTTGCTTAGGTCTATAAATTTAAAAATCCGATACAATTGGTTTGGTTTGGTAATTGCAAAATCCGAACCAACCCGACCTATGTATAACCCTAGTTGTAGGAAAGCTTTTTTATTTTCGGACATGTGGCTTTTGTGGTTCCCAGTACCAACTCTACTTCTTTCTTCTCTACTTTCATATCTTTTCACTTCCCCGGTTCCCCCACCATTCAGTCTTGCCCGTTTCCTTCTCACTACCCAGCACCCTTTCCTCTAACCTCAATTACTCAACAAGTTCAAGCAGAAACTTTAGAGAAACTACGAAACTAATGAATGAAAAAATGGCAAAAGAGGAAATTCAAACTGACGGAATTCTGCAAAATCATTTTGCTACACAGTCTAGAAGCAGCAGAGACGTTTGTTTAACCAAGTTATTTTCCTTGTTTACTGGCGTACAAAAGTTGAGAATAACAGAAAGAATATTTAAGACACAAGTTTCGAAATTTTATAGCAACACAAATATTATGGTATATTTAAGCTCAAGAATCTTTCTTTTCAAATAAATTAAATCAGAACACGTAGCAGTTTTATCTGACATAAATTTGGCAGGCAAGCAAATGTACTGAATCGGAATTGTCGTACATTGACTAATGGGGTGCGCCTCCAATGCTACAAGTATCTACCAACTTCGTTGGATAGTCACTTAACCTGTTAGGTGGATCGGTAGGTAGGAAATGCAGCCCCGTTCCCCTCACCCCCCGAGGTGCCAGACACTTGTACGCTATCCCCTTATTCTTGTTGTTGGGGTGGTTGTACTTTTTTATTGGGTGCACGCTAGATACACTTTGGTACTATGTCGTTCATACTTGAAATTTTCTGAATGAACAAAAAAGGCCAGTCTATTTCAAGAGTTGTTGAACAAAGTGAGGAGGAGACCATATCATTCTCTTCACCGACCATGATAGCGACTGGGGAAGGGGGGGTTTTCCTGTATCACTTTGGATTCAAAGGCCTTCTGCACATAAGTGATATCAATATCTTTGCGCAGTTTCACAAAGATATTTCAGAAGCCAGTCCTCCACAGTCAAACCAAAACGGACAAGGGGATTTCATTCTAAAGGATTGGTATGGTGAATTAGGGCGACATGGTCCACTTATTACCTATTGGGAACCCAAACATCTCAATAATTGATGCAGCCAGTGCCATGGGAGCTAACAATAAGAAAGTGAGCACCATTCCACGTTTATAAGGGGAAACTGATTGAATCTCAGCTAGTCAGCTTTAACCAAGTTTTCATGTTTTACATGAGAAAAGGTAAAAAAGAAAACAAAAAGAGAACTATCATGATAAATTCATGGATAAAGGTTGCACATTTTTACCCAAATTCGGAAAAATCTAAAGACTACCACCCCTCAATGCAAGAACGAGATGAAGAACAGAACCCCCTTCAATATTGTAATCCTTAGCGGTCTTGTCATCAGCTAGCTGCTTTCCGGCATAAATAAGCCTGCAATAAACCACAGATATGACTGGTATAACAATTGCCTCAAATAGATAAATGGGGAAACCAGCATACCTAGTACTGTAAGTTAATTAAGAAGTTGGTAAGAACACAATCACCATAGAGCCAGTGCAGCTAGCAGTACAGGTAAATTAAGAAGCTGGCATGAATATTTACATTGAATAACATTAGATCAAACTCCCATAGTTGCTGGCTTTTTGCCCTCATAGCCAAGAAACTAAGATAGAGCTAAATCCGGTGAAAATTTTAAATACAGACACGGATTTCGATAAACCATGAAAATGGTACTTCCCAGTCCATAAAGTACCAGTTAATGATCATTAAAACACCACAAGAAGTTGTAAAAAATTTGCCGAAGATGTGATTCATGATAATTCTCATCCTCTATGTTATATCAAACCTGAAAACAGATGGGAGGGCGAGAAAGAGAGGTAGCAAAGGCCTTTCATAACGGCACTCACTGTCAATACCAACAAAAGAATTAAAAAACAAAACAAAGAAAAGGAGCACAAAGCAGTCGACATTTTTCATATTATAAAAATTATAGCACTTCACTTGCAAGATCTTTAAAGATGCAAAAATCCCATGCATTCTTTCATCTCCAAGGAACAGATACGAGATTGTGATCAACCAACTCGGATGCCCATCATTGTGTTTGGTGAATGACAGTGGTCAACGATGAAATTAGCCTGTAAGGAAATGGCTAAAGGTATATTGACCTGCTGAATTTTTCAGACAACGCTCTTAAAATGCAGATTCAGGTCTGGAAGGCCAGTTCTGAATATTACATGTACTGGTCCTTAAACAGCAAAGAAGCAGATCCCAACTGCCAATATCAGAAATCTGGTTAAAACATATTTGTTCAATTTACCAGCTTTGAAGCCATACTTGAGTTTTTAAGAAAAACACTACATAACTAGACTTACCAGAATTTAACTTATAAGTATACAACATACTCTCTCCGTCACAATTTATGTGACACTCTTTCCATTTCCGTCAGTCTCAAAAGGAATGACATATTTCTATATTTAGCAACAAATTTAACTTTAAAATACCCATTTTACCTTCAATGATATGATTCATAGCCACACAACTATCTATGGTTTATTCTAGACTACAAGTTTCAAAAGTCCTTTCTTAACTCCGTGCCCAGTAAAACACCATCACATATATTGGGATGGAGGGAGTAGCATAAAAAACTTAATTGAGAGGTTCACATTCAATTTCACAACCAAGCATCCATACCGAAAAGTATCCAAGAAAAATCATACAGATATCTGCATGTTAATATCCTATGTTTAGTGACTATTGTTATCTTGCATTCACTGTCATTTGAAAGAAGTATTGGGGTTATAATTCTAGGAAACAGGTACATAACTACAAGTGGAAAATGGAGCATTGCAAAAATTATCGTTAAAGGGATGCTAGAAGTACCAGAGAGAACACTACACCCTCAGAAAGAATTTTACCAACAAGCTTCTAGGCCAGGCACACGGTATTATAGAAACAGCAAAATACTTTTTCTTTTTGGCCACAAGGTTAAGAGGAGCACATGTACAACAAAGATCACAAATATACAGTGAAAAACCAAGTAAAACAGAAGAGAAGCAAACCTTTGCTGCACGGGAGGTATTCCTTCTTTCTCCTCAACCCGTTCCTTAATTCGATCAATGGTGTCTGTGGGTTCAATATCAATCTCAATTTCCTTTCCAGTGAGAGTCTTCACCTTAATCATAGTTCCTCCTCTGAGCCTCAAAACCAGGTGAAGTGTTGATTCTTTCTGGATATTGTAATCAGCCAGAGTTCGACCATCTTCCAACTGTTTTCCAGCAAAAATCAGCCTCTGCTGGTCAGGAGGTATCCCTTCTTTGTCCTGGTAAACAACAAATCCAGCTACTCATCAGCTAATGCCTAATAGTATAATATTCACTGCTACAAGCAAGGATTAGCCCCAGAAATTAAAGAGCAATGCCCATTTGGGGGGTTTTGGTGTGTGTGTGTNGTCAATCGTTCACCATCACTATATGTATCAAACTAGCACATTTTGGGAAAGTATAAGAGAGGAAGCAGTGCACAGTAACCAAACTTTAGGATTACGAATTTAAGCGATACAGGGATGCAACACTAGTCATAAAACAAAATGAGGTGTGTCCACCACCAACCCAATCATGATCCATTTCTTTTAAAGGAGAATCCCTAGTTAGAGAGCTAGTTTGAGATAAACTGAGTAATAGATATGAAGATTCATATAGCTGACCCAACCACTTTGAAACAGTGGTGTTGTTTATATTTTAAAATTTTGAACTAATACAGATCCCCTGAACACCAACAGGATGTCCCTTTCGAATTTTCTAGTCCTTAAATTGTTCCTTTAGTGTTAAATAAAACAAATGGAAGAATGAATGGGGTTCTTCCATTATACCAAATATATCCGAAAGGACGCTCCAATTCACCCAGAAGGAAGACACTTTCCAACGGGATTGGACGTCTAGTATTGTGTTCCTTTCTCCAAGTAAGTGGAATTATTTCGGGTACATTCTTAATCCTTATTAGAGTTGAATGAATGACTAAATCTGAAGGACAGTAGAAGAAAAGTTATTAATGCATTTTTTATAACTGAGAAATCCCCGATGCTGATGGTGCACGGTTCAAAACTCAATGGAAATAGATGCATTCGTATTTTAACGCTAAAGCTAATCAAGACATAAAATTAGGAGTGCAAATAATAGTTCCCTTTCATCTTCGGATTTTCATGACCCGTCTTCCTCCTCGAGATTGTAAGGTGTGCAACTATTAGCCAAACAGCTAGCCTAGGAAGAACTTAAAAGTTAAAAGGCCATATAACCCTAAATAGCAAAAACTAGAGCAATATGTGGGAATTCGTGAAAGATATGACAACTAGAGCGAGATATTTAGAAATAGCAACCAAAGAGACATCAAATAAAACAAAAGGAAAAGGCCGAAAACTAAAATCCATAGCTGAAAAGAATTGGAGCAAAAGCCAAAACGGATTGAAAAGAAAAAGGAACCTGAATTTTGGCCTTGACATTGCCGATGGTGTCGCTACTCTCGACTTCGAGGGTGATGGTCTTCCCCGTTAGGGTTTTCACGAAGATCTGCATGACGGATTATTGCTGCTTCACACACACACACACACACACACACACACACACAGAGAGTGCCGAAACAAAGCTAGAGTTGGTTTACGCTAATACTTGTAGCCAAGTAAGAAAACTCGGGGT